CAATGCTAAATGTAAATGTATATGAAATGAAATGAAATGAAATGAAATGAAATGGGGTTTAACGTCCTACTGTTCTGCTCCGAACTGGGCTAATGAAGATTGGCATACGCCATACAGTGAGCTATGAGGGAAATTTTGCCCAAACAGCGGCACTATGGCCTACTCTTATATCGAATTCCAACTGTTAAGAGATCTTTTTTACGTGCACGCCAATGTGTATACAGGACCTTGGTTTTTCAGCCCATCTGAATGACTAGACAGCTATCCTTGTCCTGCATCACTGACAAGGGGGAACCACGCCGGAAAATCTGGATGAACTTTTTTCGGACAATGCAGGGATCAAACACCAGACCTCCAGGCTAGCGAGCCAGCATACCCACTTAGCCACCTAATTTATATAGGATATATAGGACATACAATGCTTTATGTAATACAAATTGGTGTGTATTCACAATACCTGCTTTATATATGGGACATATATAGGATACACAATGCTTTATGTAATATAAATTGGTGTGTATTCACAAAACCTGCTTTATATATATAGGATATAGGACACAATGCTTTATGTAATATAAATTGGTGTGTATTCACAAAACCTAATTTATATAGGATATAGGACACAATGCTTTATGTAATATAAATTGGTATGTATACACAATATCTAATTTATATAATTTATATAAGACACACAATGCTTAATGTATCATAACCTGCAGTGTATTCCACAATGCCAAATTTTGTAAATAATAGTACAATTGCTTGCTGTGATAGTATATCTAGACAATAATCTATCTTAGCTACAGGAAATTATAGAAAAAATAAGTATCCATTAAAAAAAAAAAAAATCCAGAACTGTTGTCTTTAGAAATTCTTGTTTGTGCATTGATTAAGAAACAGGGTGTTAACAACTGAATTTGAAGTGGAGGATACACCCTTAATTATTTATTTATTTATATTTGCATGTAACCTTTGAAAAAAATGAAGTTAATTAGATAAAGTATTTTGTCTAATTAACATTCTTAAATTAACTCTATTATACTGATCCTATATCCATTCTATACAATTAAACCCAATTTATAGACAATGTACTATTACGTTCCACTGACGTAGAGAATTGACATATCATTGATGATTGCCGCTGCCGCCATTGGCAGTACAAGAAGTCCCTGTAGATTGTACTATAATTAATTCCATTATAATATTTTTATGGCTATTAAATAAAAACAAAGCATCTGACAAATATTTTTTATGGTTATTAAAGATACCTTGCCACGTACAAACTGTGTGATTTTATATTACATTTGGAGTAAAAACATATTCAAACTAATTTATCTATCAAAAGTTTGCTACAAATACCTCTCAAAACATTCTAATTGGAAGAAAACTACCCCAAGCAGTAAAATTCTATTTAAACTGCCTTTTTTGTCACTGGACTTGATTGAGGAGAGGGTCCATTTTCTGTTTGTACAATAAACATTGAAGCCTAAGTAAATTGTCGGATTATCAGACAATGTCTTTTCCTACTGTTTAATAGCAAAGTCTATAAGTCTCTCACTGTTCTCACAACCGTTATCCATTCAATCAACAAAACCATGTACTCTGTATGTCATTCAAGAGGACAACAAACAGCTGCCAGTTAGTGACCCCCTTATTTTTTTTGTCCTGTGATTGGGTATCTCTACTTTCTTTACACCACATTTGCCATATAATGTTATTATAGAAAATAACTAGCACATAAATACTTTCATGGGAATGTATCTTTAAATTCAAACAATGTATATATGCCAATAAATGATTCTGGCAATATGCTGAGTTTAATTCCAGTAAAAATTTAGGGCATCCTGAGGCAGAACAATAAAATCAGTCATCTGTATACCTCTGGGAGCCATGCTGGCTCAGTTAATATGGCATTGGCTTTCTAACTAGACGGTTCCAAGCATTATTTCCTGTTGCTGGAAAAGAAACTTGCTCAGCATTTTCAAGCCTGTTTTCCTCTTTTTTAGTGGTATAGGTTGGTAGGCTAGGCAAAGAAAAAATGTCTAGTCATTCAGATGGTATGAAAAACTGAGGATAACCTATGTACTCCTTCACATGTTGGCATAAAAAGTAGGACGTTAAACTCCCATTTCAATTCATTTCATATCATATATTTCTTCAAAAGAAGTTTTTAGATAAAATTATTTTACGGTATATCTTGTAAAACATTTACAATACACACAGTTCATAATCATCAAAAAGATTAGTTTCCAGACTTTTAAGCCTTACAACAATAATAACCCTTGACAGTTTTCATATAATTCTGATTGATGAACACTTTAATTTTTTCAACATGTAACCCAGAGTACCACCAATCAAACAGAAATAGTTATTACTAATGTTTTAAATGGGGGGAAAAAAATAGGAGAGGGCGGACATATAAGCAATTTAAATAAGTTTATTGAAGCTCTCTACTCTTATTTAATTACCAAAAATAACTCCGTTCTAAAATAAGTACATGTACATGGTATTTTCATGAATGAAATTACACTCTTCCTTTCGTCATTCATAATATTTTAGATAGTTTAAATAACCTTGCAAAATTCCAATCCTAAAGCTATAAATTGGCACATAAATGAAAGATGAATAATTGGACTGATTTAATGTTAATTTGTTAAAATTTAAATGGATAGGGGACCACAGTGGCCCAATAAGGTGCTGTCTCAGAGAGAGAGAGAGAGAGAGAGAGAGCGAGAGAGAGGGGCGAGCGAACCAAATCCTGTACAACTACAATGCCACTGAACTCAATGACAGGCCTTATGATCTAAAGCAGACACGTTAGATGGCCACCCACCCCCCTTGCTAAGATCAAACACAAGCTTTAATCAAACCTGTCACTTGCATTAAGTTTAACATCATCAAGCAATACTTGCAACTAAAAATAATCTATCTTCATTCAACTTCAAGACTTTTTATATTAGATGAAGCTTAACCATTTAAAGTTTGAAAGACACAGAGGAGTAACTTGAACTTAATTCTTTGGTGAACTGGGAGCCAATTCAGGGATTGCAATACAGGGGAGATGTGTTGATGTTTTCTGGTTTTCTACAAACTAAGTTAACAACCAGAAACAAGTTTCAATCCAGAAAAATTTGGCATGGATATTAGTACCAGTATATATCTATTTGACATTCTTTGAATGTTATTGTTTAAGTACATTAAGAAAGAGTCTATTAGTTGGTTGGAGATGACATTCTAGAATATGAAACAACACATGCACGTCTGTTTTATATCAGATTTTTATGAAGTTTTATCATGATTTTATATAACAAAAGGAAAGGAAATATGTACACAGCAGATGTATATTTTATGAAAATCCACAGGATTAAATGGAAATGAACTGGGGTTTAAGATCCTACAGGATTAAATGGAAATGAACTGGGGTTTAAGATCCTGCTGGATTATTTATAAATGGAAATAAACTGGGGTTAAAGATCCTACAGGATTAAATGGAAATGAACTGGGGTTTTAAGATCCTACTGGATTAAATGGAAATGAACTGGGGTTTAAGATCCTACAGGATTAAATGGAAATGAACTGGGGTTTAAGATCCTGCTGGATTATTTATAAATGGAAATGAACTGGGGTTTAAGATCCTACTGGATTAAATGGAATTGAACTGGGGTTTTAAGATCCTACTGGATTAAATGGAAATGAACTGGGGTTAAAGATCCTACTGGATTAAATGGAAATGAACTGGAGTTAAAGATCCTGCTGGATTATTTATAAATGGAAAAGAACTGGGGTTTAAGATCCTACTGGATTAAATGGAAATGAACTGGGGTTTAAAATTCTACTGGATTAAATGGAAATAAACTGGGGTTTAAGATCCTACAGGATTAAATGGAAATGAAATGGGGTTTAAGATCCTACTGGATTAAATGGAAATGAACTGGGGTTTAAGATCCTACTGGATTAAATGGAATTGAACTGGGATTTTAAGATCCTACTGGATTAAATGGAAATGAACTGGGGTTAAAGATCCTACTGGATTAAATGGAAATGAACTGAAGTTAAAGATCCTGCTGGATTATTTATAAAGGGAAATGAACTGGGGTTTAAGATCCTACTGGATTAAATGGAATTGAACTGGGGTTAAAGATCCTACAGCATTAAATGGAAATGAACTGCGGTTTAAGATTCTACTGGATTAAATGGAAATGAACTGGGGTTTATGATCCTACTGAATTAAATGGAAATGATATGAAAGGGGGTTTAATGCCCTACTGCATTAAATGGGATTGTTCTTATAAGATATAGAGGCGAATTGAGGAATAATATTGTTCTTCAATTAATGCAACTAATTATTGACTGCGTTATGTAGTCCTTGTCTACACCATATTCTGTAATACCATATCTATATTCCCTATTATTATGTGACCAATGAAGAGAACAGGAATTTGTATTCCTACAATCATGTGAACACAGGGCCATGGACGCATGGTTTTTCTTCAGACATGAAAGACATATCAATCTATTAAACCACAGATCATATTTCGTTGCCTTTTTATAGTTCAAAATTTCGCTCTACTTATCTTTACTACACTAGGATCTGGAATAGTGGTTATATAACCCGCGTTTAGCCAATGAAATGGTCTGTTGCGGTGCAGAGAACTGTGGGTATCCCACTAGAAACATCAACGATGATTTGTTAATCAAATGTCTGACATCATAAGGTCAAAAGTCACTTGTAGACCCCTGATGCAACATCCCACTACAAGAGGTCAGACCTTGATGTAGTGGAGGCCATCGAAAATATAAAAAAAATAAAGACTTATTACACTTTCACCACATATAAAGCTAGTGTTATCTAACATATCTAATAATTGATTTGAAAAAATTACAATTGATTTTCTGAGCTCATCCATGCCAAGATTCAAACCTAATTGCCAGAAAAAAGGTAACGCTCCCATTTTCTTTTACACAAGAACAAATTCAAATAGATAAAACAAACTACTTACCACAATAGATAAAATAGATGCATTAACATTATCATATATCTTTAAACAGTCACCAGTAAATAGATTACTTAATCTTACACACCTGAAATTAAATGATCAATTGAAGATTTAAACAAATTTTTCTATTGTTGCTTTCTCAAGTTATCTTAATCAAATAAATCATCTATATCAACAAATACAACTGGATAATAAAGACACAACTTACATGTCAGCTGAAGATGATATAATCTTATTATCATCAACAACCATAAATGAATTGACAGCTCCTTTATGTTGTATTGTATGACAACAGTTGTAGATTTTACGGCACCAAACTCGAACAGTGTTATCATATGATCCGGTCACTCTAGAAATAATAAACAAAAACAAAAAAATCAGATCAAACTAGAAGACTAAGTCTTCAAGGAAGGCTGAAAAGTTCTAAGCCTATCTGTGAAAGATCTGTACAAAGTCCAGTTCGAGGTGTACACACTTTTGCCAACGATGTTGCAAGGCCTGGATGCCGGTCAGGAAGAAATTTCTTCAGTCATCCTAAAAAAGTTGTTTACTGCTGACATGACGTCATCGTTGCTAGGAAAATGACAACAGGCTAGTTCCTCTTTTATTTTTGGAAACAGGTATCACCCATGGTTACAAATCTGGCCAAAATATTATCTATATCTGCTTCAAAATGGCGCAGACTGCCACAGGACGTCAGGAATCTGACACGTTTCTGTTCTGCAGTTAAGACCTTTGGCACCCATCTTGTAGAAACTTTTGTCATTCCTAATTTGTTGGCGAAAATGTGCTCAACCCTCTCATGAGAGATGCTCACCACACTGCATGGCAATATGTCAAGTGGTCAATTATCGATCAGCCATCACCATGTCATGCACTCGAGTAATATTTTATTGAATGTTTTTTGTTGATGGCTTTCTAGGACGTGGGTCATCGTCAAGGCTCTCTCTCTCTCTCTGTGCATGCCTAAATTCCACAGCCCACCTCCTTACCGTGGAAACGGAAGGGGCATCATCCCCTAAAGTGGAGACCATGTCGGCATGTATCTGTATTGAGGTTAGTCCTTTAAGTTACTTTAAGGTACTTGATGACTGTCCTATAGCCAGTTTTGTCCATTTCTAGTGATTTCAATGGGTAGGTTCACAAGATGGTCTGGTACAAAGACAATAATAACACTATAGTTGCAGTTCTTATGTCTATGATTTATTCAATGATTGTACTTGTTAGTGATAAATGTTTGTTTTAACTCAATTGATCTCTCCTTTTCAAGCTTAGAACTTTTCAGCTAGCCCTCATATAGCAAAAACTAAATCAAATTTGTGTACGTGGAAACACACAAAATGATTTCAAAGTAGCCAAAGACACATACTTTTACAATAATAGGTTAAAGTTTGTACAAAGTTTCATAAAGATATCTTGAGATATACTTCAGAAGGATGGATGGACTGATGATGCCAGCTATTTTATTATCCCACCCAAACTTTATTCTGCACAGGATAATTAACACCCTATTTAATAAGGATGCAGAGCACTTAAAGTCCAACAACAATATGAAGCATCATCATCTAACAATATGGCATTGATAAAGAAAATTTCAATTACTATTTTATGATTATTAATTTGTATTGTCTGAGACTGGAACTGGGTTTTAATGTCTCATCAACACAATACTTTGATCATGTTAAGACAAACATAGAGTAACTTTCATTTCCATGGTTATCGTTGCTATGCAAGGTAGGAGAATTTTACCTGGACAATGGCGTGTCAGGAGTTCTTTTAAGTGCACGATAATGTGTACACAGTCAATTGCACCTTGAATTTTTAGTAAGATCGATTGACTAGACACATTTTCTTTGTAAACCCTGCAGATGCCACCACTGGCAGGTAAAAGCTGGACTTGAAATTCTGTCTAAGATTAAGAGCTCAATACTTTGGATTAAGTAATGAATAGCCATGTTTAATGCCTTACATATAAGAATTAGTAAATTGTACACAGGAAATACCATCTTTATGACCAATCAATACTGATATTTTTGTATACTGGTACATATTCCATATCTATAATACATAAATTTACAAATAAATAATATTATTACTACATACTCCATATCTACAACACCTTTACAAATAAAGAATATATATATATTAATGTAATAGAAATCAAGCGGTTGCCATGCAAGATACGCACAGCATTTGCAAGAGATGGACAGAGAACAAGCTAAAAACGTGATTTTTCGTACAATCAGGGACCATAATCCAGGAAGTTACAGTCTGATATGCAACAAAATTGAAAGGAACTAAGATCTTTGGTATAAACATATATGTTAAGTTTCGTCAAAATCAGATAAAAATTGTGGATTGTAAGTGTAAAGTTTAAAGTGTCTACAAACAAATTTGATAGGATGTCCAGACATCCAAATGGACAGGGGTGACAGCAATATACATCACCATGAAATTGTGGACGTATAAAAAAGTGTGGGCATATGGGCATACCACCCCGAATGACACTACTTGGCACTTTTATTCTATTGCATTAAAAATGTTTTTTGTCAGGAATCAAGGTTCACAATCTTTTTGCTACACCACTGTATTCACAACCGACTGAACAATGTGAGCACTACTAGTGTATGTTTGAAAACTATTTCAATAACACCTTAAGTACTGCACATTCACTTGGGTCTTTTGGCGCTTGAATGCTATGAAATATAAAATAGCTTTATTTAACGGCCGGTTGCACCTTATTGCTGACAATCACATTTTTAAGTGATGATTATTTATAATAGTGATAAACAGATAAACTGGTAGTTATTATAAAAGTAGTCATTATTTTGTCTAATTATTTTGTTTAAGGAGATGAATTAATATAAGCCTTTGGCTTGTTTTTGAATCCTGACCATTGACAATATTTGTATCTATCAATCTTATTTGAATATTGTTTAAATCAATTATATTGTCTAAAGAGGAATTGCTGAATTTGATGACCTTGAGGCTTATTTTGAATCCTTACCTTTGACAATGATAAGGCCAGCTCAATTTTCCGTCCTAGGTCATGAGATGTAAACAGGGCTAGTGCTAATTCCAAACCTAACCCTAACTCTGAACCTAGCCCCAATGCTTACCCATAATCTCGCCAACAATCAAGTGATCTAACCTTATTTACATCTCTGCGACCTTAAAGGGGAATTGTCAAATTTGACGACCTTGAGATACATATTTCGCTGCTTACTTTCTGATACAGTAAAATAACAACTATATGCATATCATATAAATTTAGGTGTTATATAACGCCCTGACAGCTCACAATGTCAGCTGTTATGCAACTTCCTTTTGTTTGATAGAAATGTCAACTACCTAAAGTCTAGCTCATGACCTGTTGTATGTGATTCGACACCACACAGATTATAGGGTTTGGTAACTTGCAGACCAGGCACAAGAAACAGGGTGAAAATTTAATATGTGCAGGACAAAAAATCTTTACGACCAGTCTCCGATCTTCAACGGTGCCGAATACACACTAGTGACACGTAAGTCTCACGCATGGGTTTACTAAAATTTCCCCACAGACTGCCCACAGTTGCATGTACAGCGGATTATGAGCTAGGGTTTATATATAATCATTTTGTTTCGTCAGTTTTAAAAAATATTTAAAATGAAACTTGTCCAACTTACCACAACTGTACAATCCCATGAACCAGTAGCCAAGATGTCATCATTAAAACAAAGACAATGTATACCACCCTAACAACGGTAAAAACAAGTAAAGAGAGAGATTTATTAAAAATACAAGCTACTCTTCTGCTATAAAAAAAAATATTCTGTGTGAAAAATAACACTTATAAAGATATAAATCATCTTGAAATGACAAATTACGTAAATTTTAAAGCTGTTTATATAAATTTTTGGGCAACTCGGTCAGGTCAGCTGTTTTAAATTCATGATTAATTTTAGTTTAATTTTTGGAGAAAAATAAAAACAGATCAGTTAATTAAAGGGACTTTAGAACTTTGGAGATCTTTTGGAAAGGACGGTAAAAATAAAATTGCTGTGATTTGATCTACAGTTATATGAGGGTAGATGTGGGTATTCCAATTACTTACACTGGATGGAAAGTTTAAGACACATCTGCCAATTCCTCGCTGAGATAGAGATGTTTTAAGATTCTGCATGAGTCGTATGCATTATAGTCTATAGTGGTTTTCAAGAAGCTCATCAGATTTTTGTGTGTAATTCTTAACACTAAGTAGACCATGCAGTTAATGGATTCTTGATTACTAGCCTAAGCTTACTTTGCATTGCATAATGAAATTCATTACATTTAATTTTCTTGTAGAAAGTGCTAATGTCTCATTAAGGAGACTGAGATGGTTCATTCAATTCCTATAAAGATATGATAAACTGAAAATGTCCGAACACTGGACATCCTCTGCAAACAATATAAGTGTTAAAAAATTTGATTGGCCTCTTTTTAATTCAATTGAATCTCAGCCATTGATATTTTGGTTTTGCTTTCTTAAAGATACATAATGTAAAATTTAGATAAAGAGCTGGCCATTCTTGTTATAATAGTTCGAAAATGGATAATGCAAAATGAATATATTGAAAATTTCATTAAAATTACCCTATTGCGAGCAAAGATATTAGCCTTTGAAGGTTGTTCGATGCTAAGTCTGAACCTTTCTCATCTACTTAATATTGGAGATATCCGATGGCATCGAGAGTTGATTATGGTCTTGTCATGTTAACAAATGTCTAATTATCTAATTAGTAGTTTATATAACATTTCAGGCCTACAGGCAGATTTGGCTATTGCATAACGTATGTTTAATTAATGTTTTTTAACAAACAATTTGAGCATATTTGAGCATAGATTTAGCCAGAAAAAAATTAAATATTGTCTGAAGAATTCACATTACAATCAGTGGCCTTAAAGTAGCTAAGTCTCTAACTCAATATCATCCAAAATCTTCAACATTGAAAACACAAATTATTTGTCAATTTAAATCAACATTGATGCTGTGATCTTACCGGAAAAAGATGGGCTTCTGATATCCAATATTTAAGACAAAATAAAGATTTTACCATTGGTACACGAATCGTGTACCATAATGCGTTTTAGCCCCAGTTCTAGCAAGAGACTCGAGGAACGAGGCTAGACATATTGCACCAAACCAAACGGCGTATGTAGACTGGAATAACCAGGCGCTAGAAATTTGCATTCATAACTGATTTGAAATTAGAGTAAAAACGGAAACCATTGAATGTATATCAGTTTATATACATTCATATTACAGTATTATATGAGTTGCGACCCACTTGTGTCAATTTCTAGGTCCCAAATGTTAGCGATTTAGCTCCTTTAAGCCACCTGTATAAAGAACCAAATTTAGTGCTCAAATAAGTATAGCATCAAGAAGTTATGGTTACGCATATAACTGATCATGTGCCATCAAGAAAGAAAAACTGACCTTATGTCCATATAATTTATGTATACTGCGACCACTTCGGATATCCCAGATTCTAATGGTTCTATCTAATCCTGCAGTTACTAATCGTCTCTTGTCAAATTGCAGACACATAATTCCATTCATATGACCCTACAAATGATGTAATATAGTCAAGGTGATGTTAATGATTACATTTCTGATCTATGTATTAGAATATAGTATTATACAGTAATTAGAAAATAAATATTTAAAGATACTTTAACATGTACAAACTGTGTGATTTGATGATATATATTTGGACTAAAAACATATTCAAACTAATTTATCTATCACAAGATTGCTTCAAATCCCCCTCAAAACATTTTAACACAAGGAAATACTCCAAGCCATAAAAATCTCTTTTAAACAGCCATTGTTTGTCATTTTACTAAGCAGCCAATCTGAGGAAGGTCCATTTTCAGCTTATATTTGTCTTTAATGGCTGTCTATTTTGTCATTATTCGCAGAGTCTATTTGCTGTTGTACATTTTAGGTCTCTCACAACCGTTAGCCATTTGACCCATACATCAAGAGCTCCATGTTCATATACTAAAATTGTTGTACTGTTATTGGAAATAAATACCCTATAAATACTTTGGTAGGAATTCATCTTTAAGATTACACAATAAACCAAAGACAGAGGAAACATTATAAGAATATTGAAAGGACAATATGAATATATATACTCATTATCTGAGAAGCAACTTTCAAGGGTCATACTTTGTTAAGATTAAAATCGTCCAACCTAGAATAATGAATAAACAATTGAGAATGCATAGTAGAATGAAGGTATTCACAAGTGCACATTTACTTAAAATAGGTTAAAATATTCCTAGCATTAATTTCTGGACTATTCTTTTGACAAACATATATTATGTGGGCGTAATAAATTTAACACTGTCATTTTAATGTTCTTACAGCGGAAACGGTACACAATAAAATAAACATTTAATTGAATCCTAGTTTTTTCATCTTATATTTTAAACATATGAGGGACATTAATTTAATTGTCTAAAATCTTTGATAAAATTATATTCTAAATATAAATCATTTACATCAAAATGAAATGGGGCTTGTTGACATTTTACTTTTCACCAGGCAACCGGGCTAATTATAATGAAGATGAGCATATGCCATGCAGTGTGCTATAAGATAAATTTTGCCTGGAAAGGAACACTTGGGACTATACTTATTTCGATTTGTAACTTTCATGGGGATCTTTAATGTACTGGCAATGCTATATATGGGATCTCAGTTTGTTGTACCATCCGAAGGAAATGAAATGAAATGAAATGGGGTTTAATGTCCTACTGTTCTGCTCCTATACTGGGCTAATAAGACGGACATATGCCATACAGTGTGCTATGAGGGAAATTTTGCCCGGGCAGCGGCACTATCGCCTACTCTTATATCGAATTCCATCTCATCCGAAGGACTAGACAGCTGTCCTTGTCAGGCCCTCCGTTCTGCACCACTGACAAGGGGAAACCACGTCGGAAAATCCAGATGAACTTTCTCGGCCAATGCAGGGATCGAACACACAACCTCCAGGCTAGAGAGCCAGCGTCTTAACCACCTAGCCACCGTGGCTCCCACCATCAGAAGGACTAGATGCTTTTCCTGGTCAGGTCTTTCATCCTGTTTAATGGAGGGGGGGGGGGGGGGCATTCCTAGCTGTATGTAGACATGTTATTAGCATTTGATCCTATATGATCAATAAACAATCAGGCCTGCCAACTTTAATTCATTGATAGAAAGTTTAACCAACATAATATTCAATCAAAACAAGACAAAGACCAATCTGAAATTTTCAAAATATATAGGGGTATGTTGCTCTCTTTGTCAATAGGATTTTTCTCTTTAAAATTGTTTTCAAAGCACAGAAAGACATGATTAAGCTATGCCAACTACAACAACAACCAATGGAAATGAAATAATATGTTTTACCTGTAATTTGCGTACTCTAAGAACACTTTTAACACTTCCAGCATAGCTCTTCTTGTTTATATCTAGACTCTCATCTTCCTTTTCTCCTTTCTTCTTCCATTCAAGATTTCTAGATGCTTTAGTTTTACCCTTGAAAATGAACATTTCAGAAAATTTAATTTATAAAATATTTGGATTACTTCAGCTTAGCAAGGAACAGACATATTTGATACATCATCATCATCATCATCATTATCCATCATTGACTATTATCTCAGTATATAAATTAATTTTTAAATGTTTATAAAAAATCATAGATTTATTTTTCTTAATCCATGATGTTTTATACCTATTTCATGGCACATCAATTTTCAGGCTAACAAATCTATCAGTCCATTGGTCAGGGCTGGCAAAACTGTTTGAAACAGGGGTTACGGTGATGCATGACGAAGGGCCTGACAAGGACAGTTGTCTAGGAGTTCGGATGGGACGAGAAACCGAGGTCTGGTGTACACATTGCCGTTGCGTAAAAGATCCCTTGACAATTGGAATTTGATATAAGAGTAGGCCGAAGTGCCGCTGTCAGGGCAAAATTTCCCTCATAGCACACTGTATGGTGTATGGCCATCTTCATTAGCCCAGTTCGGATTGAAACAATTGCTTTTTAAGTACTCATGTACTGACAGGAATAGATATCTGCCATATATTCACATTTCCTTATTTCCATATATAATATATATTTTCTTCAAAATAGACTACTTGTGATTCAAAAAGGCATGCTTACCAATAAATCAACTGTCTGTACAAGGCGTGGCCTAATATCTAATGCCTTATCGTCGTCTTCTACAGGTTCTTCATTTCTTATTATACTTCTTTCATACTTTGAAGATCTATAATATAAACAACATCATCATTTATCTTTTAACAATATCTCATCCAACTGTTTGTTGATTTAAGTATATAAAAAAAACAACAACAAAAAGACTTGAGATATAAATAGCATTTATTATTTGTACATCAAAACAAAATATATACAATACATGTATTAATGGTACTGTACATCAATCAAGAATGATTGTTGATTAAAGAAGAATGAATGAATTAAATGTGATTTATTTCCTACTTTTGTGCACCAACCAGAGAGAGAGGGAGAGAGAGAGAGAGAGAAATGGGGTTTAACGTCCACTCGACACAAACTAGGTCATTTCGGGACTAACATATGGTTGAATTTTATTTCAATAATTCGCTTGCGCGTAGGGGTCTTTAGCAGTGGGAGGAAACCGGAGGACCCGGAGAAAACCCACGAGGTTGGACAGGCGACCCTACTCCTTGCCACGTACAACCGGGGATTCGAAACCACGCCAGTTGACTCAATGACAGACTTTATGGTAGAGCGCGCACGTGCTAACCATTCAGCCATCCGTCCCCCTGCACCAACCAGACTAATGAAGATAGTCTGGAAATTTCTGGACAGGAAATGTATTTCAACTGTTATGGGTTCTGTTTTCCATCACAACCAAAGGACTAGACACTGTTCCTTATCGGGCCCTCTTTCCTGCACCCCTGAAAAAGGGAATTTATGCTGGAAAATCCTGGGGAGCTTTCTCTGTCAACACTGGGATAGGGATAGAACTCTGAACCTCCTGGTTAGAGAGAGAGAGAGATAGAGGGGAAGAGATTAACATCCACATGACACAAACTGGGTCATTTCAGGACTAACATATGGTTCAATTTTATTTCAATAATTTGCTTGTGCGTAGGGGTCTAAAGCAGTGAGCTAGGACCTTTCTCACTGAGCCACTGTGGCTCCCATTTAAATTAAAATGCATTGTTGAAATAAAGAGAAGATAATCCAACCTGCCGAACCGAATGATATTGGTCAAGTAACCGAAAACACAGGTATTTATTTTGGCCATGTTTTTCTATGTTAAGGCTCTTTAAAATGTGATGTTTCACAATTACAAATAAAAACATACATAAATAGCTTAGTTTATATGGGTATACAAATTTCTGATTTATTAGTTATAAGGTTATTTTTAAAACTTATTAAATGTTAAGCATCTATGACTCACCTCTCTTCTTCTGTCGTATTTGTATTCTGGCGTTCAGTATCTATAGGTATGTCATGTAAACTAGTCCGTACAGTTCTTCTACGCGATCTTCGGGATGAGTTACACCAGTCAAAACTTTTATCTACAAAAACAAGACATATATTTAACTGTCCTTAAGAAGTTAGAGTAAGGGGACACTACTCTCTTTTTACATGTGGATACAAGCCACCATTAGTTTCCAAATTTTAATGTTAATTCTGTTCTCCTTGCCTGGCTCCAACTTTAGCCCAAATTTCCATTGGACTGAACACTTTCCACCACAGACAAAGCAACAACTGGCCATGTATTTGTTCCAAAGTTTGTACGAGGTTGAACAGTAAAATTCTGAGAAACTTGAAGTAGTAGGCCTATACTATAAATATGTAACTCAATGCAAACCCTCTTTTTCAATTCAATACCAAAATGTCAATAAAAATGTCCATGCAAAAAGAGAGAGAGAGAGAGAGAGAGAGAGAGAGAGAGAGAGTATTAATAGATGGAACTACATTCATCAGAATTTTTTGTATCTAACTTCATAAGTTTCTAAATTTAGCTTTTGTATAATTATCACTTTTTTCATAATACCAAGGTCATATACGTTATTCAGAAATATAAAACGAAAACATGAATATATTTTGATTAAAAATATAAATTTTTTCTGAAAATTTTGTCAAGGATTCAAGGCCACACCAAAAAATCAGAAAGACTAGAGAACCTAGTCATTAGAGCTGCAACGATTCAGTTCGGTGCACCGATAACCGACACTAGCCGTCTCGGTTCGATCCACAATCTACAACGTTCAAATTTCGATTCGGTTTAATTGCAAATTAAATTTCAAATAAAAACAACGTACACCTTACCATATGAAAAAAAATGAAAGACCTGTAGCAATTAAGTCCACTTAAAATTTAAAAAAAAAACTTTGTTTTTACGTAACTTTTAATTTACGTTAACAAAACACGAATGTCACTCGAAAACATAACTAAAACAGAGTAACCTCCCTTTAAAACAATTTCCGTATGCTGACGAAAGTTTATTTATTTAAAATTGGTGACGTACCGAATGTTCCTTTCGATAATAGTTATGTACATTCTAAACGATCTCATTAGCTGATAATTCCGGTCATTATCTTCGGATATTTTCGTGTTTAGCGATTATTACCCGGAGTCAAGTAAACACTGGAAGGTAAAATTATGGCAGACGACGTACTTTGTCGACCACCTGGTAATTTGAAATCTAAAGTTTGGGATCATTTTGGTGTAAGAAAAAACTCTAAAGATGTGGCAACTTGTAGAGTATGCTACACTGACATATCCCATAAAACAGGAAACACAACAAACCTGTCAAACCAATAAAAGTGTTCAAGAGAATTTTAGTCTTGTGTTTTTATTGTTTTTAATGAATTATATACAGGAAAAATTACTGGTTATTGTAGCTGATAATCGAATCGAAAATAATCGAATCGAATGGTTAAAATCGATAATCAAACCGAATCGAGGTAGTTGTGAATCGTTGCAGCCCTACTAGTCATAACTACTAACATTGCTCAGTAATAGCAGTAATTGAATTCCATAGAATTGTGACCTGTATATTAAACAATGAGAGAGAGAGAGAGAGAGAGAGAGAGAGAGAGAGAGAGAGAGAGTGTTTTAACATCCACTGGACACAAACTAGGTCATTTCGGGACTAACATATAGTTCAATTTTTTTCAATAATTTGCTTGCACGTAGGGGTCTTTAGCAGTGGGAGGAAACCGGAGACACCGGAGAAAACCCACATGGTTGGACAGGCAACCCAACTCCTTGTCAATTACAACCGGGAATCGAAACCACACCAATTGACTCAATGACAGACCTTACGATACAGTGCGCACGTGCTAACCATGTGACCATCCCCCCCCCCATACAATTAAATAATGAGACTAAGCAAATTGTTTTAATATGTCATTCATCTGTCTCTCTTTAGCATTGCAATGTTTGTTTTTCCAAGCTGGTATTGAGCATATTTTATTATCAAACTTTGTTTTGTGATGACGTATGATAGCTAATTGAACGTTGCATTTGCTAGTGCACAATGAAATGTGGACATGGCTTACCATTAGATATATTTAAAAAAAAAAACAACAGAAGTCGTGGTGTTCTTACTTGTATCATCTATGGGAGGTAAAATGGTGTACTCATTCATAAATGGTTCTAGATCTTCTTCTGACATGCTTTCATCACCACTGTCATCTTCATGTATTCTGATTCTTCCAAGTAGCTTAGTTAGCTCTTCTTGCCTGCGTATTCGAGATAATGTTCCTCTGCGAAGTTTTAATTCAGCTGGCAATAGGAAAACCAAAACAGAGAGGGTGTTATTCTATGTATATACAACTGGCGGTAGTTTTTACTTTGATGTCCATAGCAGTTATATCTCATAACAACCTGTCATGACATCATCATAGGTTGATATATTCGTTCATATCAACCGCTGATGATGTCATGACAGGTTGATATTTCATATCAACCGCTAATGATGTCATTTCAGGTCAATATATTCGGCTCATATCAACCGCTGATGATGTAGATGATCGAAATAATACAAAAAAACACGGAAATAAATTTTTATTCTTTTGACAATTAAAATTTGTTATGCTACAGTTTCTAACATTCAGGACCGAAATAGACGGCGTACTTATCAACATACATGTATTTAGATCGGTTATCCATGTCTAAGACATCTTTCAGAATTTTCTTTTCGTCCACATTGCGATTATTTCTCCACACACTACAAGAATTGAAAGTATTTATCGCCCAAGAGTTCCTTTGTAAAGTATTTTTGGGTACAGTCCACTTAAAACAGTCGGTCAAATCCTTCTCTGAACAAACCGAAAACCTTCAATCATGGTTCACTGTCAGAATTCTTGGAAAAGAATGCCTTTTGGTCCAAATTTTCTGCAGGCTTTGGATAGATCCTCGTCGATATTTGCATTCATATCTATTCCATCGTCAATATGTTGGCTAAAAAGGACTGATTATTTGCCTGACTTCGTATCATTATCAATTTTGTTTTTTCTTTCAATTCAATAGTCCAAAATGGCGACGTATAAACAAAAACATGCACGTAATTGCACGTGATTACTTCGGTAATTTTCGCTATTTGGCGGAAACTATCGAGCAATTATCCAATCGTTGTTGCCTTTTAATGGAAGAGCCCATTAAATTTAAGGGTGAAATGGCGTTGTATATGTCGGATATAAACCTACTCTCCCTCGGAGAGCCCAAGCGTTCTCTACCATATCAACCTCGGGTAGGTTAATATCCTATACTTAACATATACTAATAATTAATAGGGAGGAGGTGGGGGGCATACATTTGCATGCACCAAAGGACACAGTCAGTTATTTCATATATCCTTATTTCAGTAATCATGCAGGTCTATGTAGTAAAAGTGAGAAACAGTTGGAGAGAGCCCGAAAAAAAAAGTTAGACAGGAAAACCATTAATATTGTTTTAATCCAGGACATGTTTAGGACAGCTCTTATCAACTGGTCATTACAGTCTTGACAAGTTTGTTGTTTCTGGATTACTGTCTATGAAATATTTTTGGAGGATTTTTTTTCTTTTCTACAACAACCAGGGAATCTTCACTCTTCTTTGGTACTTTTGAATAATGAAAGAATGTATGATATATTGGTTACTTACTCATCATACTATGTCTACGTTTAACTGGCCTTGCTTCAACTGAAACAAATACAATTTATTTTTATACTCTCTCATTAGATACATGTAGGTGTGTAAATCATTTAAAAAAAAAACATCTTTCACTAAAGATATTCATAAATTTCATAAAGATATTCATAAATTTCATAAAGATTACAGATATATTACTTCAAATGTTAAATATGATATTATCACAATACAATGAACAACAACTAAACATACTTTTATGAAAATATTAAATATGATTAAAGATTACAGATATATCAATTCAAATATTAAATAATATGATATTATCATAATTCAATGAACAATGAATTATGTCAAATATTATTGTTTAAATAATATGATATTATCATAATTCAATGAAAAATGAATAATGTCAAATATTATTGTTTTTTCTAGCCATTATAATACATTTTTCACTGAAGAATGGCTACAGATACTAATTAATTAAAATGTCAAATATTTATAATATTTCTAGTCATTATAATAAATTTTGAAAATTAAAGTGGAATACTTGTAAATTACATCAGATATATGTAGTACCGGTACATGTAATGTATTCTTACCTTGTTCAACAGTGTGTATTATATCTTGCATGATATCTACTGAAATAAATAACAATATAACTAAATTATACAATATATTCTGAAAAAGAAAAAATATCATACAGTAACTAAATCTGATTAAAATATTTTGTTTGAATAATAAATAGCACCAGCAAGTAACTTGAGTTCCCATTTCGGTACCATTTGCCTAGGTAGAAATCCTGCAAGGCATTTTCTAAAACAGAACATTGTGACTTTCTGTGAGTGAGACGCTCTTATTTTTGTCAAACAATAATAATCATACAAAAGTCCACAGAGGCAATCTTTTCACGGTTTGTCAGATTAAAGTCCCAATGCGCCAGAAGGCCACTAATCACTTTCCTTAGTTAAATGTAACTAAGATAAGGGTTAAAGAGTGCTTTATATAATAATAATTTACACTTACCAATTGATAGAAACAGATAAGACATGTGTGAAATCCATTAAAAGTTAAAGCAGCATTAAGGAAGAATATTAAAAAATAGTTAATGTAAAGGGAATATGCTAAAAATTTCAATTAAATTACTTCACTTTGAACTGAAAAACACTCATTTGAATAACACTGTGGTCTCAATTGTCACTGTTAACGTTGTTACGATAATAAACAAAGTTTTGATCATCCATTTTTATGGTTAATCATCCACAGCAGTTGAACCGCAGATCGGATTCAAATCTGTTGACAATCGGACCTGTCAGATGGCATCGAGAGTTGATTATGGTTTTGGCATGTTAATAAATGTTTAATTAATAGTTTAGATAACATTTAAGGCCTAAAGAAAGACCTGCAACAGGCAGATGTAGCTCTTGCATAATGTATGTTTAATAGAGCTTTAGTTGGTGATAGGATTAAACAATTTTAATAATATTTAGACCAATATGCTTATTTTTATTATGTATGGTTTGATAGTCTATATTTGCCTTTTAGTCTGAAATAGTGAGGATTTGTACAGGTAATAAATATAATTCAAAGTCCGTGTCCAATGGATGTGTCACTGCGTGGGTAACGTACGCCTGTGTGTGACCGACAAAGCCTCAACTCATTTCCGACAGATTTGTATGATATTATTACCTAAGTTTCATGTACAATCAATATATACACAATAGTATTGCAGCCAAGTAATTAGTTACCTTTTGGAAGATTTGTTTGGTTTAACAGACTATCCTTCATTATAAGTACTAAATGATAGAGCTCTTGATAAGCTAGTTTCCAATCAACTAGCATACTCTTAGAGTTAGTTTCCAATACCAGATTAGGTATATTACGGATACCTTCCTCTTCTCCTAAAATAAACACATACAATAAAATAAAACAGTGTTCAGAATATAGTATCCATTAATTCAGATCATGTATTATTTGAACAGGGCAGCTGTTATTAGTATTCCATTCCTTCCTATGACCATAACTTCCACAGCGGATCCAATGTGGGTGTGAGTGTGCGTGTGTGTGTTGAAGGGCTGAATGGTTAGCGCGTGCACGTTGTATCATAAGGTCTGTCATTGAGTCAACTGCCGTGGGGTCGCCTGTCCAACCTCGTGGGTTTTCTCCCTGGGTCCTCTGGTTTCCTCCCACTGCCAAAGACCCCTATGCGCAAGCGAATTATTGAAATAAAAAAAAAATTGAACCATATGTTAATCCCGAAATTACCTAGTTTGTGTCAAGTGGATGTTATACCCCATTCCGCTCTCTCGTGTACGATGTGTACTACATATCTTAACTATCATTCTGTCTTCAATGGGTACTACTTATACTAATTTTCATAGTGTCTACTAGTACATGGACTAATTATCAAAATATCTTCAATGAATACGACATGTACTAATTATCTGTGTCTTAAACATGTACTTATTATGATATTATCTTCAACATATAATCCTTATCATAGTGTCATCAATATATATTATATGTAATAATTATTATACAGTGTCTTCAATATGTCCTTATTAATATTACCATAGTGTCTTCAAAATATACGAGCGTATTATATGCACTAATTACAATAGTGTCTTCAATATGTGTTACATTTATTATGTACTGATAACCATGATGTATGCACTAATTTCCACGGTGTCTTCAATATATATATATATCATAGTACTAATTACCATGGTGTCTTCAATATGTACTACTAATTTAAACATTGTATACTTCTTGTCCTTTCAATAATATTTGTTAAGCTTTATTTGACAATTGTTTCAATGTATTATTTGATGATATGGTAGAAATATTTAAACATTATGGACATAAATTATTGATCAGAAAAGATAATAAAAGGATAATGAAAGATATTCTATCGATTTGGGTAATAACTACATTGTACATTTGACATACCCATTTCTAGGCATTTGAACATCCAGAGGTCCTCTGATGTACATAGATATCTCCATCTTCTACAAACCTATATTTGATAAAAAAAAATCTCAAATAATGAATCAATACATAACAATTACATGAAAACACAGAATGCATAACTATATTGATAACACATTTGACTAGCTCTGGTTATATTAGAACTAATGAAACAGGGCTAACTGAGACAGGTATTCACCATACAGTGTGTTTTATGAGGGAATTTTGCCCTGACAGCGGCACTATAGCCTACTCTTACTGGTTTATCAAATTCCAAATAAGCTGTCTGAAACATTGGAATCACTACTTAATTATCATAAACTCAAGTTTTACAACTGTTTACCTTCGCAAGTGGTGTTGAGTAATTAATTAGTCTGTTAATTACTTAACAACACCTTTTGTGAAAATAAACACTCAGTATCTAATCTAGACAGACCATTTTGAACTACACAACAATAGTTTTTGATGACTTAACAAATTTTAACAATTTGTCAACAATGGTTTGAAATTAAACATTAAATACAGAATCTCCTGCTAAAACACTACATGATATCTGAGTTGTGGTATATATTAATAAATACATACAGACTATAACTCATATAGTATATAACAATAACATTCCTACCTGGGAGGTTCTACAAATATCACGAGGTGGTAAAAAGGAGAAAACATTCAATAATAATTTATCACATAATCTATTTATATCTTTCTCATCTTCTAATCTAAAAATAGAAATAACAACCAAGAATTTACCTATCGTTCAAGAAAAAAAACCTCTTTTTAATTAAAAAAACAACCATCCTGATTAACTGAAGTATTTCTAAGATAATCTGATAACTTTTTTTAAGAAACAATATTTTATTTCATTTGAAATTGGATTCAGGAACAGACTAGGCCTTTGTTGACCCCCTCTCCAGATATTAAGTATATATAACCTTACCTTTGGTGGATATGATCTAGAAAGTCACTCAATATCATTGGTGTAGAGATTTTCATTATGGCTTTTAATAACCCAATCTTCTCAAAGTCTTCCCAATCCTGCATCCACTATATAACACAGTATTAAAAGAAAGATTCAAAATTTATATCACTGAATTATATGAAATGTAATGGGCTTTAACGTCCTACTTTTCTGCTCCATCCAGGCTAATGAAGACGGACAGCGTGCTATGAGTAAAATTTTGCAAGGAAAGCAAATTACAGCGATTCTTTTACGTGCACACCAATGTGTACACAGACCTCAGGTTTTTGTCCCATCTGAACAACTATACACAGCCACCTTGGAAATTATGAAGTTGATTTGTCATGTGGTCATGACTCAATAACATCTAAATTCACTTACAAGAAATATACGTTTAAGATATATTGTATTAACAACATTTCATTGCACAAAAGTAATATCTTAAACTTATAAAATATTGAATTATTCAAACAACTTACCATCCATACATGACACAGCTGATCTTTAAAGTTATCGACAAGTTCTAGACGCTTAGCTTTCAGAAAATGTTTACCCTCCGAAGGGGTGACTGGCCAGAATTTAATATGCTTGTAGAACTTAGGCAAGGTAACTGGTAATTCATCTGTTGTTGTAATAGATAATGGTAGAGCCATATCGCTTATTTCTCTCTGTAATTTACCTATAAAATTAAAACATACATGAAGATCAGAATCTAGAACTTATGAAAAAATTTATTACACAATTCTAGGAATATTCTTAAATTTTTACACTAAATGAAATGAAATGTAAATTTTTGGTAAGCTTATATAATTTTTCGATCTTCATCTGGTTAGTACAGAAAAAAGTAAGACGTTAAAATGAAGTATCACAATTACTAGAGATGCGTAACAGTTATAAAAAATGCCTCTTCTGGAAGGTTTTGAGATTGCTACAAAAAAGCAAATTAAGTGATATGTTTATTGAATAAGAAGTATGATGAACATCTTAATTGTCTTAGATAAATAATACTCTCTAATAAAAAAAAATATTTAAATATGTCCTATTAGATTTAATTTCAAGTACAGTATTAGCTACTCTGGCTGAATGGCCACTATTTCAGGTATGGCACAAAACAAGTACCAGGTACAAAAATAATTTGTCAATTTTTTTTATGTCCGCATATTTCTCGTCAAAATTGACTTATTTCTATCTCATTAAATTGTGAAAGCTGGTCAGAAATGAACAACAATTGCCATTTTTAGTGGCTAACAAGTTTTGCTTTTCGATCAAGTACTTTTCAATTGCTTAAAATGGCTAGTATTGTAACATAAATCCCTATGACACACACCAATATAAAGGCTTGGAATAAAGAATTAAAAAAGTGTCTTATTTAGAAAAAGCTGGTAATATATTTGATGATACACGCAGGTAGGCACCCTTAAAAAAACAATTACGATACCTAATTTGTTGACTTTCTCTTTTTCAAAGAAATCCAAGGTATCCACAGGTGAAAAGCTGAAGCTTCCAGTTCTACCATTGTTAGAAGATGCATTCCCTTCAACTTCTGTTTTCTTGATTTTAGCTGAACTTGGATTATATTCTAAAGTCTGTCCCATAAACTCAAAGGAAAAAGACACTCCACTGTCTGTACCCACTCTCTGACTAGAACAAAGTCCATCTGCTGAAGGAACTGGACTAAACAATTGACTATCTGATTTTAAATTGGACTTAGCTATGGAAATGTCACAAACTGGAGATATGACACAGCTGTTCACTGACAGTGACACCTTATCTTTTTCTATTTTGCTAACATCAGCTTCTAAAGTTTTATTTTCATTTCCATAAGCTGAAGGATACAAACTTTTTAGAGACGATTGAACAATATTTGAACTTAGACTTTCGGCATAATTTTCTAAACTGAATTCTTTTTTCTGGTTTTCTTTTTCAAACGACTGCTTGCTCACTTTCTTTTTCTTTGAATCCAAGTCTTGTTGATTCTTATTTTCAAACAACTGCTTGCTCACTTTCTTTTTATTTGAATCTAAGTCTTGTTGATTCTGATTTTGATTATCTGCTTTTGAATTTTGAGCTATTTCTATTGACGATTTTAAATCTGGTTTCTTTTTAGTATTAACAGATTTCTTTTTCTTGAATGATGATTTCTTTGGTTTTTCTTTGGAAACTGAGACATCTGATTTAACATAAAGAGAAGGATAGATGCGTTTTGAAGCCGTAAAATAATCTCTGTGACGTACAGGTTCAAGTGATGTTGCCAAAATATCCAGTTGCCTAGCTGAACATCTAAAATATAGAAAACACACAAACAAATCATAAGAACACATTTTAAGAAAAGGAAATAAGGATTAACAACCCTGTGGGCTAATGAAGATGGACAGACAGGCATGTACTATAACGGAAATTTTGCACAGCTAGCTTGTATTTTGTTCTCTGTAATTATCTTCATTTCACAGTATCAAAACAGAATTTAAATCTCAAATTTATGACATGGATTTTCCTTAAGTTTCTAAGGCAAATGAAACAATTTTCAAGAACTGGTGGTCCTACAGAGTTTCAAACAATAATAAATAAAATAGATGTGCTGGGTTTCAATTAGGCAGTGGATGAAATGAAGATATGTTAAGTTTACATGAATCTGATCATTATTAGTACAGAAAAACATATTGATAATGAGACTTGTGTCTACAATAACTAGCAGAATCTGTAACAAAACTTTTAATTTTTTTCATCATTAATTGTTGTAATTAATTTAACTTTACATCCACAGTCAGTTCCAGACCCATGGTTTTAATAAGGCACTATTTTATTGTATCTACATTTTCTGAGAAACATGAAGATACATTTATAATACATACTTACAAGCCTATGTTAGAGTATCAAACTACAATTTGACGTTGTCATAAAATCTAATTAATACCATCTCTAGATTTGAATATCATTAATGGTACATATACATCTGTCCATAAAAGATATAAAGCGTAATTGTACTAGAATATGTACCTGTTCGATATCCCTGAAAGTGCTAATTTTTGTTGCCATGATTTCCATGTATCAAACCATTCACATATTTTATTGTAAATTTGTTGATTGTTTAACTGGGAGACATTCCGTTCACTCAATCTCTCTGTCTCTTGTACCACAGGTGGAAGGTGAGCCACACCTTCAAAATTACCATATCTCAATCCTTTAGCTGGCTGTAAAGAAAACTCCCTAGTACTCAGAATGGGTACAATAGTTGATGGCATTTTGAATCTGTAAATAAATATAAATAAATATCATAATCTCCACAATGAATGACAGGGGCTGTTTACAAATGATACATGGTACGCAAGTTTTTGGCACACTATATACTATATAATTGTAGTGACTTTTGCAAGGTGTTATTTTATGTTTTATTTTATCAATTGTTAAAATTACACTTTCTGTTAAAATTAATAGTCATACAGATAGTCATGGTCAGTTAATCGCTATTTAAAAAATAGTCCATTTGTTATTGAGGGCCTATACTTAAAAAGTATGATGTACCGGTGTTTGATAGCACATACATAACAGACTATGTGAATATAACAGTACCAGACTTCTTAGTTATAATTATATCACCTTTTTAGCAATGACACATTGACATGGTATTCACTGAGGCCTCTATTAAAGAAATTTAATGTCAATCATGATCATTACCAGTACTGAATAAATAATGTTTAGTGGTATGTATAGAAAGTGGTTATAAATTATACAGGAGTCATTTATTATGATTTATTAGCATGTGTGTAACTAGTTATAAAGTGGGCTAATCCTAATACCCATTTGAATACACAAACCTAACCAATGGTGATGTACATGAATGTATAGATATCATTCATTAGTCATGGTCTTAACACCTTTGTGACATCTACTTAATGACTACTGACTGATTACAAATAGTTGTAACTGCTTATTTAACATTATGTACATCAAATGAATGTAAAAGTGATTGTTATATATCAGCCTTATATTTCATTATACGTTTTTATCTTTCGCACATTGTACTTTTAAATCAACCCCATTTTTTATTACACACCACCAGGGCCTGATATTGATTAAGCTTCTATGGGACCCCAGTCTGGCTGAAAATATCACTGGGGCCCTTGCATAGCAGTTAAAAGGGGGTGTATTCCGATCATTGTCCGTCACACTCACACACTGTCAGTATGGAAGACAGATTTATTTGGCACATAATGTGACATGTTTAAATTTATGGTACACATATTTTTGTAAAACTAATTTGGGGGCCCAGTCCTCTTTCCTACAGACAGGGTAATGATATGGGGCTTTTATTAGAATAACCTAGCACTATTGATAGTCAGCAGGAAACAGTACTGCAGTGGCACCTTTTTGTTGTTTGTCAATTTTCCTAATGCCAAGAGAACTATTTCTATGACGCGTCTTATCAATGACGTCACATATTTTCTACGTCAATGAAAATAATTCTCACACCTCTTTGTTCTTTTTTTAAAAACAAAATTAATGTATAAAATTTAGATCTAGAATCTAAATAAAAATCACTTTTGAAAAACTAAATTATTTAACATTTTTTGTATCACTTGAGAAAATTAATTATGAAGGTTTTATATTTGACAATAATCAGCTTCGCTCTAGGCCTACTCAGGCAATGCCTGTTACATATTAAGTAGACGTGCAGAGAAGTTTAATTTTGTAAAATAAATTTTCATGGCTAGACACAATTAAGCTAACCTGGAATTGCAATACCATATTGCAAGTTCTTCTTATTACATCCGCTTCTACTTAGACTTTTATTCTTGCTTTAAGTTTAACTTGTGAGTGAGGGTTCATTTGTTTACTTCCGTTCAAGGCGCCATCTTTGATCTCTAAGCTAACAGTATGATGGGAAATCAAGTTCATTAATCAAAACAACAGGTACTAATTGGCTGATAACGATTGATCAATCAATGATTAAACTATTAACAGTATAATTGATGACGAATCAAAATTCACACGATATATTTACTATTCTAGATATTTTGTCCCGCGAGCTATCTACGTAGACTTGATTGTCCAAGCTCCTTTTCTTACACGTTAAAACCGACTGGACAATTTAGCGGTAAAATTCGAAAGCAAAGTGTAAAACAACCGGATGTTTACAATTTTTAACTTGTTTTGCTTTTTGAACGCGAAAGTTCTCAATTTGATTTTATAAGATGTCTTCTGCATCGGGTTTCAATTCGTCAGATGATGAAGGCGAAGTTGATCTGACACCTTTTAAAACAGCATGGTATTTTATGAGCTTATAAATTTGGTCTTTGTAAACTGTTGTTTGACTTTTTTAAAGCGACAATCTCCCGACTTTTTAGTTTGAGTTTTCGATCTTCACTGGATATGTCAATGTGTCGGTTAAAACATTGCTGGTGGTTTTCAAATGTGCTTTGTTAGTAATGAAGGAATAAGATCCTTGCAATTTTAAGCAAGGCAGCGTCTAGTCTTTTGGATGGTACACAAAACTGATGTCCTGTACATAGGCTATTTGCGTGACTGAAAAGAACCATTTTTCCTTTTTTGATCCAGGATAGGTTAGCATTCATTGATAAAACTGGGACATTTATTATTCTGAGCAGACTAAAGCTAAATAAATTGAGCACGAAGCGCCTGCAGGGCGTGACAAAATGAGCGCCCAATGGACTCGATACATCGAGCGCCGATGCCGCGAACTTACTAAAGGGGTTTTGGGGCATGCACCCCCCCCCCCCGAAATTTTTTCATTTCTAGAAATGCGTTTTCAGCCATTTTTTGACGGTAGTTATACTAAAAATATGTTATTTCGATTGTCACATTTTTAGGAACCTGTTCGTAATTTAGCCATGATATCCACCCACACCTGTTTTTTTATGTTTTTGTAATTGTTGTTTTCTTGCAACGTAGGCTACATGCTTTTAAGATCTCATTGAAAACTACACGTACAACATTTATATTTCACAGAAAGGTCCAAATTCATTGACAAGCAATGACCTATTCACAGTGTTCTTGGATTTGTTATCAGTATTCAAATTAACACTGATTGGAAGGTCGATAGTGCTTGTGCTGAAGTAAGAGTGTTTGTAGCAAACACTGTTTTATACATTAAAAGTAATCACTAGTTTATGTATTTTGTGTTATTATTTTCAATTGAAAAACACCTGATTTAAAAAAAGGGACATTTAGGCATGCGAGAGGCATCAGGACGGGACAACAAAAAGGGCCCAAAAAAACGTGACTTTAAATAGAATGATATGTTTCTATTTTTCACTGAAAATGGTGTTAATCTTTGATGACATGGAGTCAGCCATTATTACATATGTGACAGAATTGGTTAAACACATTCCATTGATTCCAAATATAATTTTAACACAGAGATCATTGCTACGGATCGTTAGATGTGAAATGAACATTTAAAGAAATTGGAAGTGACGCAAAAAAATGACTAATACTAATACAAGTTACCCTTCTATAAAACTGACTGAAGTAACGAGCGATAACAGACACAGGGTAGAATTTCATTTCACTGATAATTCTGTTGAAGATGAAAATTAGCAACAAAACACATAACAAATCAAGTGAAATAATGTAAACATAATTGTACAAAAAAAGACAAATTCAGACATAAATCATAAAGGGTTTAAATTCAAAGGGATTTCTAACAATTTGTACTTCACCGAACTGATCATTAATCTTTCTTTTTTTTTTAACTTCAGGTTAGATCTTCAACTTGAAGGATGTACAGAAAAACTTGGCATCTCCGCGTTACCAGGTTAAATTATTTTTATACTAATGCTTTTCCAAGTTTCCTGTGAGACATATTTAGATAGCCATGAAGTATAAAAGTGTCACATAATTTGAACATTTTCACCCTTTTTTACACATCATAAAAAAAAAAAAAAAAAATTCTGATCCAACCAGTGTGATTCCTAGTGATGCTCCCATATATAGTAATACAATTATATTAAATGGTGACATGCAATTCATGATGCTTGACACTTGAGTTTGATATTATATTTTATTGATGTTGTTAATTTACCTGTGTTCTTACTACATAGTTTGGTCTATATAAAAATGTGAGTATTGTGGTGTAAATTTATGTGACGATTTTCTGTTAACAGGATGTAGATATAAAGATATATGGAGGAGTGTTACCAATGATTTAAGTAAGAATAAAGATGCATATTATGTAAGAATTAGACAAAGAGGTGGTTGTTCAATAGTTTAAAAATAAATGATGAAAAATGAATATATGTATGGAAAATTTCAGTCAAATTACTATATTCTAAGCAAAGTTATGGGTGTTTGAAGTTTTGATGAGACAAAGTACCATTGCCATGATAATAAAAGTCTTGTTTGTTAGTCCTTATATTGGTTGACGTCAATTTTAATGTTAACAATTACATGGTGCAGATGCTCTCATCCAATCAATATCTCAGCCATCCTCTGATGATCTAGAGATTTGAAGACTGACTTGTCATGTGAATAAATCTCTGATTTGAAGCCCCCCCCCCCCCAAAAAAAAATAAAATCTTGAATATGCAGATTTAGCTGTTACTTTACATGTACATTATGTGTAATTTAATGGTTGAGAGCGAGATATTAAGTAATATATTGAAACAACACAAGGGACATTAGTCCCGAGTGTTGTTTCAATATATTACGCAATGTCGTAAGTTCGAGACCTAAAACACAGACACCCTCACATGCTTTGCAATGAAATACGTCACATGGGTCCAAAATTTCAACTAGTATAAATAATGTACGCTTGGCACATTGCCGCTACCATTGTTTGAAATAATGGTATGCCAACATCAAAGGATGACGCCACGTCTGTATTTTAAGTATTTTTAATGTAGAAATATGTTTAAATGCAAGTTGGTATAATCTGTTACCATTGATCAGCCTGTAATGATACTAGTTTTCAAATGTACATTAATTTATATTTTGAAATTCTATCCAATTAAGCTCTGTACCTTGTATCTTTCAATAACTTTGTTTACTGTAAACCAAGGATTCCCTGTCTTTTTAATCCTATTTACCTCCGGAAAATTATTACATGAAGTCAAAGATAAGATGTAATTAATCATGTTTCTGTTTTGGTTTAGAATGCATGAAAGAAGAAGGAATAAAAGAAGTGTTTTGTTTATGTACAAAGGGTGAACTACATAAATATCGGGTAACCAGTTTGCTACAAGATTATTCCACGTTTGATGTTAATGTTCATCATTATCCATTCCCTGATGGTCAAACAGCTTCACTACCTAATCTTATCAAAATGTTAGAAGAATTAAAAATCAATATCTTAAATGGGAAGAAATCTCTTGTTCAGTAAGTATTCCAAGCATCCCTGACAGGATTTCCTAATCTTATGTTTTGAGTTGCTGCCAGTTCCAAAAATAGTATTTTTTGCTTGGAATTTATTTTCTGTTACTTTTGAAATTTATTTTATTTACAAAAAAATAGTTTTAAACAATGTACGACATTGTACCTTTTCCACATGGTCCATGGGTCTGAAAAGACTAAGAAGAATGAACAAGAAATAATGTCTGTTTTTTTGGCTTACCTGTCCAATGACAAGATCTGTTTCAATCAATCAACACAGAATTTGTATAGCACAAACAATACTTTGATCTGTTTGTATGGGTGCCACTGCCCTGGCCCATGGCTCGAATTTTTTTTTCTTGAAATGAGTCACACATTTAAAAAACTACTTATGGCAATTAAAAAACCCCAACAAAACAACCGTATTTACGAAGCATAAAGTCTCAAAATTTTTAACAAATTCTTAAATTTGGAATGGTACTAGTCAGTCATTTATGAGGTGAACTCTTCTCATCATTACCCACTAGTTCAATATTAATAGCTAAAAGGGACATAACTCAGATTCTCTCCCTATTGACTGTAATGTTAAAGTCATACCATTCATTGGTTAGAGAACACTTGCTTGAATATTCCAGTCATCTTAATCTTTTTACCCTAACCACAAAGAACACGATCATGAGGTAAAAATCTTGAATAGGGTTGAATAACTCAATTATTTTTTTTATGCAACGTCAAAAGTATCGATAGGTTGTGATTTTTGTGATATTTTTTTCTTAGGTAATTTCTCTATTACATGTCAGTTTAACTTTTGACCAAAATTGTACATATTTAACAAAATCTGGCAGAACATGTAAATTCAAGGTTCATCATTTCTATACCAAAAAGTCACTCAAACTGCCACACAAATGGGAGGAAAAAGATCTATATAAACCAGGGAACTACAACCGTATGTAGCGAAATAAGGGGAAATAATTACCTGTCCCAGTCAGGTTGACTGAATTTTCAAACACTCCATGACTAAACCTAGTTTAAGTGAAATTGTACTAACCTTAGAAACTTGTTAATAAATTACAGTATCCAATTTGGTTAATATTAGTAAATCTGAATAGCAGAGTAGACTTTGTAATACAATGAACATTACTTATACATTACTGTTATTCTTAATGATATTTTTTGGTTATATGGAAAAGAAACTGTTATAAAACTTAACCCTTTGAGTTTGAGCCTGTGAACATCCAGTTATACTTAATTAATAAAGTGTTATAATATTTATTCCAGTTGTTATGGTGGATTAGGCAGATCATGTTTAGGTGAGAACAACAAATACATTGATTGTAAACTTTCCTAATATATACTGATTTATATTTATAATGTTTATGACATAAATATACCCAAAATAAAAACAAACAACTAACATTGTTTACAGTTGTACTACTTTGTTAACTATATAATATCCAACAGTTTCATATAATCTGGGAGCCACGATGGCTAGGTGGTTAAGACGCTGGCTCGCTAGCCTGGAGGTTGGGCGTTCGATCCCTGCATTGGCCGAGAAAGTTCATCTGGATTTTCCGACGTGGTTTCCCATTTGTCAGTGGTGCAGAGTGGAGGGCCTGACAAGGACAGCTGTCTAGTCCTTCGGATGAGACGAAAAACCGAGGTCCTGTGTATACATTGGAATACACGTAAAAGATCCCTTGGCAGTTGGAATTCGATTTAAGAGTAGGCGATAGTGCCGCTGCCCGGGCAAAATTTCCCTCATAGCACACTGTATGGCGTATGCCCGTCTTCATTAGCCCAGTATAGGAGCAGAACAGTAGGACGTTAAACCCCATTTCATTTCATATAATCTGTTGTTACCAATATAAATATTTATAATACTATTTGTTTCTGTAGGTCTTTATTAAATTAAGTATTTCAGTGACCATCCAATCTGATTAAAATACAGATCTATATTTTGTTTCGTTTTTTATACTTTCGATGGCCTACACTACAAGAAGATCTGACAAGTTGTACTCGAAGGTCGTGTCAGGGGTCGTATGTGCGGCTTTTGACCCTATGATGTCATACATTGATTAATCAAACAGCGTTGACGTTTCTAGTGGTTTAACCACATTTGTGTGCATGGCACGCCAAGAAGTCGCCGTAACAGACCGTTTCATTGGCTTATCCCTCACTTCAAACCAAACAATGGTAATATAACAACTCTTACAGATCCTAGTGTAGTAAAGACAAGTAAAACAAAATTTTGAACTATAAAAAACGAAACAAAATAGGGTCTGTGTTTTAATCAGATTGGTGACCATCAGTTTAACATTATTATTATGTAGTCAAATAATTCTCATAAAGCTATTGGGAGCCACAGTGGCTCAGTGAGTAATGCACTAGCTCACTCACCAGATCTTAGATGATATGAGATCTGGAACTAATTCCTCAAAATTTCCCCCACTGCCGATGAATTTGCAATGATTAGGCTACAACTGCCGGGCTGACTTAGTATGGTGCGCTAAAAGAAATCCTGCCTACACGCTTACACCACTACTTTCACAGTTCAAAACCGAAATAATAGCAAGCCAAATCCTTCTCTCAAGTATTTCACATATGATCTAGTTAAAGTCTTGATATAACTTCAAATTATGGTATTTTCTACTTTCTTTTAGTTGCTAAGGGGGGGTTGCGTGCGCGTTGCATTGTAAGGTCTGTCATTGAGTCAAATGGCATGGTTTCAATTCCACATTTGTACAGGACAAGGAGTAGGGCCGTCTGTCCAACCTCGTGGGTTTTCTTTGGATTCTCAGGTTTCCTCCCACTGCTAAAGACACCTACGCGCAAGTGAATTAATGAAATAAAATTTAACCATATGTTAGTCCCAGAATGGTCTAGTTTGTGTCTAGTGGATGTTAAACCCTATTTCTCTCTCTCTCTCTTTAGTTGCTGCATGTTTAATGATGTATTTAGATGAGACTATAAAAGCAGAAGAAGCTATTAAACGTGTTAGAGATTTACAAGGGACACCGGCTATACAATCTGTCAAGGTAAGAACAAATCTAACTGGCTTTATTCTGGAAACAATAAGTACATCGAAATAAAGAATTGATAAAAGATTCCACTGCCCTGGCCAGTTTCTTAATAGATTATCTCCACTTATCGCATAAAATAAGGGTAATACATTCTACAGTAGATATCGCTTGTGTGATAAATTTCATAATCTACTGATATAGGAGATATCGCTTTACATGAATTTAATTGGTCAGTTATAAAGGAACTAAGGGGGGGGGTTATGGCCGAATGGTTAGCTCGCGTGCGCTGTTGTATCATACGGTCTGTCATTGAGTTAACTGGCGGGGTTTCGATTCCCCAGTTGTACGTGACAAAGAGTAGGGTCGACTGTCCAATCTCGTGGGTTTTCTCCGGGTCCTCCGGTTTCCTCCTACTGCTAAAGACCCCTACGCGCAAGCGAATTATTGAAATAAAATTAAACCATATGTTAGTCCCGAAATGACCTAGTTTGTGTCGAGTGGACGTTAAACCCCATTTCTCTCACTCTCTATAAAGGAACTACTTTTATGTATTTTCAAAGAACAGTTCATTTTTTTATTAAAAGTAATTTCTTTTTCATTAAAAATGAATTTGTTTTATTTAATTGACCTTGATGGAAACACTGGATCAATATAAAGGTCTTTGCAATAGTTGAATTGCCCTCAAAAAATGATGTATCATCACTACCCCGTAATGTTATCAGGTTCAGTAAAAGTGACAGCTATAGCAAAGAATTATATTGATTTATTTGTGCATGTAAGAAAGGATTGGGTGATAAATAAAATCTCCTACTCGTCTTTTTTGATATAAAAAAATATCAACACTCGTTGATAAAGTAAAAAAAACTTGGCAGAGCCTCGGGTTTTTTTACTTTATCGACTTGTGTTGATATTTTTTGATATCAAAAATCGGTATTTATCTGATAAATTTGATCAAAAGTGCACCTTCTTTTTGAGTGTTTAAAATCCAGGCTTAAATATTATGTTATATTTAATTTACAGTATGTGTGTTGAAAGTGCATAGAGCATACTTTACATGTGGAATTAACCCTATCAAATGTTCATAATAATTAATATTAGAAATTTTATTTATTTCAGCAATTTAATTTTGTAAATGATTTTCGTCAGATGCTACAAGACTACCAACAAACAGAAGGTAGTGAACAGAGATCTGTATCTAGATAATAGTTCATATATAATACACATGGATTGTGTAGAAATTTTATATTATTATCTTTATATATAGAAAATAAATGCATGGACAAAACTGTTAATGATTCGTCATTGTTTTTATTTTAAAACTAAATTTAATGTGATCATATATCTCAGTGGCTCAGTGAGTTAGAAGTTGGCTCACTAACCTGGCCGAGAAAGTTGATCTGGATCTTCACTGGTGTAGGACAGAGAGCCTCGCAGGGGACAATGTATTTCAGATGAGATGAAAAAACGAGATCCCATGTACACATTGGCATGCACGTTAAAAAAAACCCTTGAAGACATTGGACTGACTCTAGATTTTATCAACTGATTTTATTTAAATTTTGTGAAATAAGAACAAGCCCAGATATCCTAAACAATAGGCAAATGTTATAAAATCTATTATTTTTACATTTATTCACATGAAAAGCCTATAATCAACTCTCTAGAGCATTGGATGGCCGAAATTTAAATGTATTTGACCACCCATGAAATTTAAAAATTTAGCCATAAAAAGAATAATCAGTCTCTATTGTCAAGTACCATTGCTACAGTAATAAACTGTCTGGGCTACATCATGTCAAAACTTTGCTCAGTATAAAGTAGTTTGAATGAAATTTTCAATATATTTATTTACAATAGCTTGTTTTAAACTATTATAGCAAGAACGCCAAGCTCCTTTCTAAATCTTACATAATGCATCTGTAAAGATTGTATGGACTATGTATAAAGTACATGCCTTGGATGCTAATCAGGGCCCTGGGATAAGTAACTTAGTGGGAAGGGGGGGGGCTCAAAATGTTTTGAAAGATACAAGGCAGGGACGGATTAAGGGATCGATCAATGGAGGTGCCTCGTTCCGAAAGGCCAAGGTGAAGGCGAGGGATCCTTTCACTAGAAAATTTTGAAAATTGGATCCCCCTAGATCAGATTTAAAGGATTTTACTTTGAGTTTAGATACAAACTGGAATCTATGAATTCTGTGTCCAAATCAGTCCATAAACCAATGAAATTGGGTGAACGCCCACCGTCTGCACCATAAGGGAAATATGGCCCGATAAAGGTGGCGTTGCAATGGTTGATAACCCACTCCCTGGGGACAAAAATGACCAGTAAAACACCCCACCCGTAATTATGGGACAATGGACATGCAACATTACATATTTCGTATGAGTTTCTTACAAGCTTTCTGACTTGCGAAAATGTTGATGATCGCCTCGAGATCAATACCATCCATGGGCTTTACACAGACATTGCAAGAAATAAACAACATGCGTACGAGTCCGGTGGCTAAAGGGGGGGGGGGGGGAATCGCCACCCGAGCTGTGAATTTATGAGACCAAGTTTTTCTAGACCAGTTTTTTTGCGTAGATTAAGAATCTGGGTGGTGATCAGGCGTTTGAGGGGGCGTTTTCGAGATATGGGGGGTTCAATGTCTACAATTGGGGGAAATGTCATTATGTTGATATAAATGATGATCATGTTATATAATTATTAATAAAACATAAATTTCAAGGACTACCCATCTCTAATGGGTATATGATGCCCCTGGACAACTGTTTTGATTTGTAGGGAGGTGGGGTGGGTGGTTGCAGGTGTGCGTGTGTGTATGGAGGGGGGGGGGATCGGCGGGAAATGAGGTCACATCGATTTAAATGATACTTTTCATACAGCTTGATGAAACATCTCTAAAAATTTTTATAATATTCCCATTGTGTGGGGATGGACGCCGGGGTGGGTGCCCGCTGGGTTGCGCGGGATATGGTGGCCGGGTAACATGTGTTTTTTTGGACAGAAATCATTTGGTTTTAAATTGATCTTAAAAGTGGTTTCTCGTTAGCTTTTTCATTCATTACCTATTTCGTCATTCAATATATTAATTTATAATGGTACTTTTTAAGAGATCTGGAAATGTACATAAAAAAAACACAGTAAATCAGAGACATGTTTAGATATTAGTTTATTCTTAGTCTTCATCAGAAGATTCAAAATATGAGCTGGATGAATATCTTCTTGGTTGCTGACCAGCAGCTCGCATATATCCTTTGGATATGCTTTAGATAATTCACATTGCAAATCTTCATTCCAGCCATGCAGCAAAAGACCACTACGGCAAGGTGGTAATAAGAAAGGTCTGGGGTTTTTTCACCCAGAAAAGCTTTCTTCTAGCGTCATCTACTGATGTAAGTCGTCTTCTACGATATTTTCTTCCTTTGCCCATCTCATTATCGAACAAAATGTGTATATTTGGATCGTTGTGAGGAGAATGATTGGGGTGTCTATTTCGCCCGAGCAATTTGTTTCTGCGCTTCCATTAATTTGTAAACTATTTTGTGTCCTCGTGGTTTGTTGTCAGTTCTAGGATATTCTCGACACTTTCAATACTAATCTTGATATATTTTTTGATCCAATCAAGATTAGTATTGAAAGTGTCAAGAATATCTCGGCCTACATGCTTTCAGTGGTAATGACTATCTGTCTTTCTTTTTCCAACTTTCTAACATTTTTTAAAGAGCTGGGATAGACAAATGATGTTTCTGATGATGTAATTACTGGTTTAGAAAAAATGGTTTGTACCATGTACGGTGAAAGGCGACTTACATCAGTAGATGACACTAGAAAAAAGATTTTCTGGGGGAATTTTAATTGTGATGAAAAAAAACCCCAAACCTTTCTTTCTTTATTACCATCTTGCCTGAGTAGTTTTTGCTGCACATTAAACGCAACAATTATGTTGAAACAATATGGAGACAGGCTGCAAAACCAATAATCGAACAAGATGATCCTGCGATACCAGACTGGAATGAAGATTTACAATGTGAATGGGTATCTGAAGCATATCCAAAGGATATACGCGAGCTGTTGATTAGCCATCAAGAAGATATCTATCCCTCTCATATTATGAACTTCGATTTTGAACCTTCTGATGAAGACTAAGAATAAACTAATATCTAAACATGTCTCTAATTAACTGTGTATTTTATTTACATTTCCAGATCTCTTCAAAAGCACCATTACAATTTAATATTATTATTTGTGATGATGAAATTGGTACTGAACGAAAAAGCAATCTGATTAAAAATACAGATGTATATTTCGTTTCGTGTTTTTATACTTTCTATGGCCTATACTACATGAAGATGTGACTAGTTTTACTGGGAGAAAACATCATGGGTTATACGAGCGGCTTTTGATCCTATGACGTCAGACATTGTTTAATCAAATCGGCGTTGACGTTTCTAGGGGCTTACCAACAGTTCCGTGCAGAGCACGCAAAGAACTCGCCGTAACAGACAGTTACATTGGCTAATTCCTCATATCAGCTAGACCGCCTGTTATATAACAATTCTTCCAAATCCTAATGTTGTGAAGATAAGTAAAACGAAATTTTGTACTATAAAAAACGAAACGAAATAGCATTTTGTGTGTTTTAATCAGATTGAACGAAAAAGATAACGAGAAAACACTTTTCAGGTCAATTTTGAACCGAATGGTATCTGTGCCCAAAATTACGCCTGATCACCACCCAGATTCATAATCTACACAAAAAATGGTCTAGAAAAACTTGGTCTCATAAATCCACAGCTCGGGTGGCGATCCCCCCTCCCGACTATACATAATTGATCCTGATAAATCCTGATAGCACAGAATATATTGAGGAATGTGGATATCAACTTGCTTCAATCATAACGAAAGGTAACGAATTGAGCAGATAAGAAAAATGAGATCTAGGCATGCGCTTAACAGCACTGATGAGTGATGGGTTGATGCATCTGCCTTACTAAGACAAATGCACAGCCGGGGCTCGTGCACTGTGTAAACGGGGACCCTTTTGTTGGACCTTTTACAGGGGATCTATAACCAATTTTCTTCCCGGATTCAGCGTTTTCTTTCAGTTCATTTTTGGAGATTTTCAAAAAATTTCGCTACTGAAACAAACAAGGTCTCTGACGTCATCTTTGGCGTTAATCTGGGGTTACTGGAGGTCACTTTGCTAAAACACAGAAACTGAGATTTAACACACCATACCAAATACATGTACTACGTGTTGGTTTTTAATAATATAATAATAATCAGATGTACTCCATTTTGACAGGAAATTGAAAGCAGGCAAACAACAAATGGAAAGACAAAAACCGTTCCCATCAGACGTCAAAATATCAAAAAGAATTTTTTTTTCACATAAACTATCCGTTTATTTTTATCAATACCCCAAATTATGTTGAACTAGATTCAAACGGAACTTACTCATCAAAACAGTAGGCCTACGTAACAAGTCATAATAGACTGAATGGATAATTTAAGCATATATCTCGATTAGTGACAAATCACGCTGCCTTCAGTTTCGTTCTTAATGATCGGATACCAGTCAGCCTACATGGAGCGCCTCAAACGGACCGTGGCTCCGCGACCCGAAGGCCCGGGTAGATGGCTTATAGTTTTAAATTCGATAATTTTTCCCAAAAAAGTGGATTGACAGAATCCGATACTAAGTAAAAACACCCAGAAAAAAAATCACTGGGTTTTCATTTATTTGTACAAACAATTTTTTTTTTTTAAACATTACTCGGCATACCTCCGGGCCCCTGTACGCTTTGGGGCCTAAACAAATTGTTTTTAATGATCGTATACCAGTCAGACTATATAGAGCGATCGGTAACCGCGTGCATGATCACTGGCGGCAGGCGTTTTGCCCCACCGAAAAAAACATTGCCGACCACAGCTCTAAAGTACCTACTGTATACTGTGCCGGGTGTGCCCCCCCCCCCCCCTCTAAAAACTTCACTGCCCCTCCGCAGCCCGCAAGCTGGCTACAGGCCTGACTGGCGGTAGAAGGCGACACTGTTCGATAGGCCCGGACTAGGCCCCAAATACTCTGACTGTAACGATAGCCTCAAATAGAACGAGTATGTGTCGGGGTCTCACGATGCAAAGGCCCGGGCAGGTGGCTTATAAACTTATAGTTTTAAATTCAAAAAATTTTTCCAAAAAATGTGGACTGACAGAATCTGATTCTAATCCTACCCACGCAACTAGGTATAAACATCCAGAAAAGTCACCGGGTTTCTTCTACCTT